AGATAGATAGATAGATAGATAGATAGATAGATAGATAGATAGATAGATAGATAAATAGATAGATAATAGATAGATACTCAGACTGACAGACAGATCGATTAATCGACAAACAGACAGACAGACAGACAGATGGATATATAGACAGATACATATCACAGTTCCACTTCAAGAAACACAAGGGACCTGGATAACCCACTCACCTTTGTCTCCTCCCACAGTGGCCCCTGGCTCTGCGAACACGTCTTCTGGCCCCTCATGGAACTGGGTCAAGGTCATCTGTATTGAGTCATGCCAGGCACTCAGTTCTTCCCGGGAGTCCAGAGAGAGAAACACGGGGATGTAGTTCTGGAATGTAGGAATATCATCATTGTTATTTTATTATTATTAATGTTATGTCCTCAAGAAGGGATCTCATACAGTACTATTATTTAGAAAAGAAAAAGATACTAGAACTCCCCCCCCCCTTTCCACACACACAAAAAAGAGACAGACAAATACAGAAATGCACACACACACACTCATACACGCGCGAGCGCATATACACACACATAATGCACGAGCACACATACAGACACACAAACTCACAAACACACACACACACACACACACACACACACACACACACACACACACACACACACACACACACATTCATTTACCCATAGGCCCACACACACTTTATAAATATATTATGATAATTATGACAACGTATAACAGTTTTTAATACACTAAAGGTAAAGTGAAGTTCAGGAAACAAGCGTAATGACACAAGGGACACAACTCAAAAATTACAGTGTGCTCTAAGCTGAGGACGAATCGCTTCCCCTGAATCTTGTCGATCAGCTGGGCGGCCGTGTAGCCGCGAAGCTCTGTGACGTCAGAGGGCACCTGGTCGTGGGGTTTGAGGTAGCTGTAGAGGCAGACGTCACGCAGCACGCACCAGTATCTGTGGGGAAGTTTTACTCTGTTTTCATTCCATTTTAAGTTAGTTTTAGTAAAAGTTTTACGGCACATGCAACACAATATGAAGGTCATATAAGTGCCGGAGATTAGCGGTGTTACAAGAGAGTAACAAACACAAAAATAGAAGGAGGCGAGAAAAGGATGACAGATGTTGATAGGAAAGAAGGAGCTAACCACACCAGAGCACCCGCCAACCACCTGCATTCCATTTTAAAAGAAATGATCTTCATTCTTTAGGCTTACTATTTTAACGGTAGTGTCTTCATTCTCTCTCCTAAAGAAACAACAACTTTACTACAATATTCATTCTTTCCCGTTTTTTAAAACATCATCTTCATGCGTCCCCCTGTCTCTGCTATATCATCTTCCTTCTCTCTCTCTCTCTCTCTCTCCCT